CTCTCTAACTTTTCTTCTCACATGCTGTCAACGACTGGACCTGAACATTTCAATCCATAATACTCTTTTGGACTTTACATACATTATCTCAGCCTTCTCTCCTTGTGCCCTTCTGAAACAAGTGGTTTCTTGGCTTCTATCTTTCCATAAAGGCTGTTCCTAATCAAGCTTCTTCTGACTGTGGAAGGATCAACTTGGCATCCAGATGAAGCTGCCAGATGCCGAACTGGGTCCTTGCTGGATTTCCTCCGGTCTCTCAAAGAAGAAGCTTGAAGGATCAACTTGGCATCCAGATGAAGCTGCCAGATGCCGAACTGGGTCCTTGCTGGATTTCCTCCGGTCTCTCAAAGAAGAAGCTTTGAGAAACCTCTCATCAGATTTTGACAGTTTTTTGATCTTCCATTCCTGTTTTTGTCCTTGACCTTTCCAGATTCTTCATATTTTCTTAGAATACCAGTTTGTTTGCTGACATTTTTGTGTTTTTGAATATTGTGTACATATTTCTTATATTTTCTAGCTGCATTCTGACAAATAAACATTGCTAAGACAACTAATCTAATGGTGACTAAGACTTTTGCACAGTACTGTACATAAGATAAACAATTCTACACTTCACTTTCCATCCATCCACTTTTCTGAGATCAGGTCATGGTGGCAGCAGGATCACCAAGGTAGTCCAGACATTCTTCTCCTCAGCAGTGTTTCCATAACCTCATTCTTTTGGTCACTACCCACAGCTTTCGGCTCAGCTCCTTCTTCACCACAATGGTCTGGTACAACATCCGCATTACTGCTGATGCTGCCCCTGTCCACCTGCCAGTCTCATGCTTGGTTTTACCCTCACTTGTGAACAAGACCCTGAGATACTTAAAACTCCTCAAAAACCCTGATGAAAATGGTCACTTCATGTTGCGCTACCTCACCTGGATTAGGGAAACCGGGGCACCCTGCAGGAGCCAGACCTGGGAGGGGAGCTCACCAGTGAACGTCTGATAGCCAGGCCTTGGTCCATGAGGTCCAGTCAGACTCAGCCTGAAGCAATGACACAGTGCAACCGCCCTGTAGACCCACCACCTACAGGGAAAGAAATCAAGGGTTGAGTGCAATGCAAGTTGGGCGGCAGGCTATGCTGGGCACCTGGGTGTGTTGATCACTGGCTGCATAGACTAGCTCTTGGAAAAAACCCCTACACTTCAATTTAAAAATAATAATTACTGTTGCAGAGTGAAGAATTGAACATGTTAGTGATATTGCACTGGAGTGTATTCAGTTTCACTGTCTACTGTATCATCATTCTTCTGTTGGCTTGATTGTCCAGCCCACACAGCATCGGGCATACCATCTTTTCAGCCAAGGAAAACTATTATCCACTATTCAAAGCGTCATGTGACATCCCGATCCTTACGTCAGTAAAACAAATGTCATAACACAATTAAATACTTTGCTGACATGTTTCCTGTATTCATCTACACAAAGTGTACTTTCTTTTTTTCCATCTTTGTCTTTCTTGCTGTTTACATTTCCCTACTATTTCAAATAGTTTTTTTTCAAGTTTGAGCATCATGTTGTTAATCTTTCTACATTACTGTTTGGTGTGTAATCTGTTGTTTCCCTTTAACACTGTGAGCTGGCCTCGGTCATCCCACTAAGCAAAAAGGCAGGGATGGTGCCTGTCGCTTTACAGCCAGTTAAATTACACTTTGATGCTCCCCATATATGAATTAATAGCCGTCCATGTTGAATGTCTCACCCACAACAAGGTCACTTTGGCACTGATATACACACACACAGGAAGTGCCTCACAATATTAGTAGAGGTAGTCAAATCTTATTTTGATCCAAGTGTCAACAGAGATATGCTTTATTGTAAAAAATAAATACTAAAACTGTTGTGTACTGTATGTTGGGTGTGGAAATTTGTTCTGTGGTCAGCTGAAAATATAGACTGATAAGATAAACTGAAAATTACTGTTCTGCTTGCTCTGCATTTTTAATTTGTGCAGAGCTTTCCCTGTGCCCACCACACACAGCTGCACCTCTCCCCTCTACACTGTGCACAGTCATTGGAACAGATGTTGACTGCTGGATCCACTGCATTCAAACAGCTGCAAACATTCAGCATGATATATTCAAGCAAAAAGAAATGAAGTATTTTGTGAGTTTTGCTGAGTTATTGTTGAGACCCAGACATTACATGCAGAAGTGCAGGTGTAAGCTGAATTGTGTGTAATGGACAAAAAAAAGCCAATTGAATCAATAAAAACTGAGATGGAGATTTTGATGTAGCATATGCCTTATACGGTCACTCTGTGCTGCCTCTTTGTAGATTTTGTGTTGTTCAAACACATGGCATTCCCTGCAGGAGGGCCCATTGCTGTTCACCTTGGGTAGTGTTGGAGAGGCTCACAGCTACAGCAGATCACATGGATAATAAGCAAAAGATTGTCACAATATCCCACTCCTGCCAAAAAAACATCAGTGACATGCTATAAACAAAGGCCTTTGATCAGTGAGAGGCCTCATGATTCCAAACAGCCTGACAGCTTTCACCTCATGGGGACTGTGGATGCCAGCCAGGGAAATATGATGAAATAACTAGAGAGCATTTATGGTGGGATAAAACCCATTTGCTCCATTGAAACCTTACAGGATATCTCAGTCATGGATAGCAAGGCAATGCTGCGGATGTTAGACCCCCAGCAAGTGGCCTGCCACCAAAGCATGACTCCACAGCCTGAGTCCATTTAGGCCACAGCTCCAGAGCTCACTGGATCTTGCAGGGCCGAGCTGCATCTGGTCTGATAGATTGTCATCCTACAAAAACTGCACTGTGTGCAGGGGTCTCCAGCCAATCTCTCCTTGTACAGCTGGATAACATACATACAGCGCTTATCTCAGCGAGGCCACAGCCAAGTGAGATACATGCACAGTGTGACATTAAACCTTCATATTCTTTGGTTCTAATTTTAATACTCACTCCTCAATAAATATGTAAGACACAGATAGACATCGGCAGTGGTGGAAGAAGATTCCTTACTTAAGTAAAAGTAGCAGTACCACTATGTATAAATACTCTGTTACAAGAAAAAAGTCATGCATTCAAAATGTTTCTTAAGTAAAAGTACACAGTATAAGTATCAAAACATACAGTACTTAAAATACTAAAAGTACTCATTATGCAGAATGGCACATTTAAAATTAACATACATTATATTGTAACATAGGCTGAATGAAGAAGGAAGCCAGAGACTGAATTTGCCTTTTTGTGCACTACTGTGTGCCCCATTCACTGCACAACCCCACAGCGCCGCCTTTTATTATCAGCACACACAGATGCAGTACTGTGACTAGCCACTAGGCTGAGTCTGGTAGAGGAGGCTCACAGGCAACATTAACCAGCCTGGAACCATGTCCTATAAACACACATCCACCACAGCTCAAATAGAGACAGCGGCAGGGTGACAAAGAGCTGCCAACTTAGACAAGAACACTGCCAGAGTCACGGCTGTAGAAATTTATGATCAGATTGCTGTGTGAGGTTTTACAGTTAAATTGCATCTATGATGAAATCAAGTGCTTGTGATGGAGAGAGAAAAGAGAGCACAAAGTCAGGACTTTCTCGTTTTGGATAGCTAGAAACGACTGCCCAGCAAATTCACTGTGACAGCCCTGCTGCCAGGTGACTTTGCAGTTGCATGATAGAGCCACATGCAGTGGAAGAGAGAGTGTGAGTGTATATGTAAGTGTGAGTCTTGGAGCAGAGGTTGTATTGGTTGGGAATGATATGCTGTAAAAAAAAAATGCAGTAACTTTCTGTCCGTCTCAGATTGTGGCCAGGGTGTCTGTTCCCCAACACATCACAGAATACTCTACGCACTACAAATGGATCCAGCCGATGATCCAGGTCATCAATTACACAGGCAGACAAACAAATCAACACACTTACTCTTCACTGCATGGCAACTGATTTCATAACTGCCAGAACATTTCCTCACAAATAGCAAGAAATTACTTTGATCCACCCTATCAATCTCCATGAATTATTACTCTGATCCTATAAATACATCATCAGTTATGAATGTACTGTCAGAGACAAGTGAGTAAATATTCAATTTAGATTAAAATTTCATAGTAAAACGTTTTGCTATTTCCTTTTTTCCTTCCTAAGGCACTCACAAAATGGTCAGTGATTGTCCCTGGTGGCAACCACTGTAACAAAATATGTTTCATATGACAATAGAGGCATCAGATCAGAAAACACATACAGTAATTGTGGTTTTGACACATTTTGTTGTTTAATTTTACAGACTGAAAAAAGAGTATCAGCATTTATGTTCTAGCAGCTTATGGGTTCATACTTTATGAATTAAATAGCAGGTGCATTTTTGTATGGACACGTGAAATGCTTTAAAGCCATTTCCCAAAACTGTTTCAAAAGTACTGCAAAAAGTTAGTTGCAGTACTCGAAAAGAGGGAGATGAGAATCTTTGAAGTGTTAACAACTTCCCACGTGTACTAAACTGTCTTATACCCATCTGGGGAATCCACATGCACGACTTACATCAGTTAACTGTGCAGTGCAGCGTCAATCTTGAGAAGTTGTGTCTTAAATGCACATCTATCTTATTACACTTCTATATATTGTCCACTGAAGGTGACACATTACCAGTCAAGTTGCTTTTCATGTACAACAACACTTTTCATGTACAATAATGACTTTTATACTTGCCTTTATTTTCATGTTCGACAAATTCACATATACCTGTTTTGATGTCACTCTTATATTCCTGAAAGAAATATAAAAACAGCCCATGTGCTGATGTGTTCTTAGGCAAGATACCGAACCCCAAGTTGCTCGTGATGGCCTTGCAGGGACAACACTGCCATTGGTGTGTGTGTGTGATGGCACCAACAGATGGTTGTCTTGGTTCTGTACTGGACACAAATTTGTGTGTGTAACATACCTGGCCAATAAAGTAATTATGCTTATCTCTTCCACAGGTAAAGACAGTTCAGGTCTGACAGACACTGATTTGGTCCCAGACACTGAACCACCTGGAATGGACACCGCCTACCTGACAGTGAAGGATCAAGGTGTCAAGGCAGCATCTGAAAGGCCACCAGGCACTGACTTAGCAAGCCCTCAGGACAAGGCAGATGGCAGCGACAGCAACAAAGGAAAGAAGAGACGCAACCGCACAACCTTTACAAGCTACCAGCTGGAAGAGCTGGAGAAGGTTTTCCAGAAGACGCACTATCCTGATGTTTATGCTCGGGAGCAGCTAGCACTGAGGACTGACCTGACAGAAGCTCGTGTGCAGGTAACGCAGGACATTCAACAAGGAATGTAATGACGGCTAAATAGGCAAAACAAGGAAAAAAGAAAAAGAAAGAAAAAACAGCTGATAAATCTAAACAAGGAAACACAAACCTGAAAACATATCAGATTTCTAACGACAGATGGTGGTTAATTAAAAACATTTCTATTTACAGTAAGGTGGCATGACTTCATGCAACCACATTCCTGTCTAATCAGTAGGTTTTTTTAAAAAAAAGAGAAAGATCATGTTTAAACAACGTAACCTCATGGATCCTTCAACATCTGCAGCTCTGCAGAGATAACGTCACTCACAGAACAACATGAGAGATAACTGATAATGTGGGAGTCAGGGGGAGAGAGCTGGGGAGTGGGAGTTAACAGAGGCCAGGGGGCCCAGGGGGCCCAGGGGGCTGAGGGCTGAGATGTCTGGGCCTCATATGTGCAGCTCCAGCAGAGCTGACTCCTCACCATATGAAGAAGAGGCATTTGACTCTGCGGTTTCTCCATTGGAAGGTCTCATTGGCCATATTCTTCTGACCTGAAATCAGTTCAGATGGCTTGTAGTCATGCCTGAGGAGTACAGTACCTCTGACTGAAACCCTTCTAGTAACATTTAGGCCAGATTTGCATCAAAACAAGCAATGACTGCTGTAAAGCTGGTGAAAAGAGAAAGACACCTCCATTATTTCTCTATCTGTGAGGTGGATGTGTATGTACGCGCATGTAGCGCAGACTACCAAAGCTCCTGGATTTTCTGTGTTTTTCTTTCATTAACATCCAGCCCAGACAAGAATGTGTCCCTGCTGTGGTCTCCAGAGTAGGTGTGAACCTCTTCCCATGGGCTTTGAGCAGCTTAGCAACTGACATTTCTGAATTTTGAGGCTTGTGAAATATTCCAGTTTTGCTAAACATGATACAAAGATACACTGCACCGGCTACATTTTAGCTTTGTGCCTGTGCCGTACATGGGATGAGATAAGAACTCGATTGCAACCAGTCTTCTACACGATGAGCTGGAACTGTGACTAGAAAAGCTCTGTAGTGAAACACAGGAAGTCTGTGCAGCCATAGGGTTATAACTCAACCCCGAGTCTCTGTAGGTATGCTGCTCTGCTCTGCTGTGCTTTGCCGCTCATACTATCAGAGACCTGTCTGCTTCAGACGGATGCAGCTTTACAGCCCCCAGCTCTCCCTGCGGCCCTCTTAAACACTCAAGTTAAAAAGATAAAAGACACAAGATGACCTGTCAGTCAGAGAGCAGGGCTCTGTACTCTATTCAGGTCAGTCACATGCAAAACAACTCACAGCTCATGAATTCTGGGTCTGGGGCAGAAAAAAACTTGCAGCCTTTTTCATTTGAATGGTAAAACTAAGAAATGCTTCAGAGAGGGTGTTCACTTTCTGATGGTTCTCAGAAAAATCAGCTGGCAGTTAAAAAAAATTTCAGGTTTGGGAGTTGCTGCTTTTTCTGTCTCTGTATTTCAAAGGGAGAAATTCAGTTCAGATTTGAGTCATATGCACTACAGATACATGGGGAGGTCAGGGGGTTCAAAAACATCTCAGATTTGCCATTCTGTTATTCAGAGAGCTTGGACGGCCGAGACCTAGATCCAAAAATTGAACAGAAGATGAAACAGCAGAAAACCCTTATTACACCAAATGACAGACAGAAGGGACGATGGTTGTTGCAGCTGTGAGTTTTAACTTGTAGAAATGTTAAAACTGTCAAGTAACATCTGTCACTTTATGAACAAAGTTGTTTCACTAAGAAGAGGTGAGAAAGCGTGAGAACATTTGTAAAAACAAACTGAAATTCTGATTTAATGTTTTAAAATGTAACTTTTAATTTGACATAATAAATAATTAGTCAGTTCTAGAGCTGAATTTAGTTAACCGGTTTGGTGATTAAAAAAACCTGTTGCTGTTTTCAGAACCAATTAATTGTTTAAATAATTTTAAAAGCAAAAATGCCAAACAGTCCCTGATTTCAGCTTCATAACTGTAATGATTTGCTGCTTTTATTTGTGATACTAAACATAGCCTTTCTTGTTTATAGACAGTTATTTATTGTCTACACTTTATAGACTACATAACAAATAAGAAAACATTATGCATAGCTGTTCATACATTTTCATAATGAGAAGCTGTAGATTTATAATACTGTATATCTAAAACTTTCAGCCTTGGCTACAACACATTCACAGTTTGCATAAAGCAAATGGAGAAATCCAATTCTGTGATATATTTGTTTTGTATCCGTCCACAGTGTCCTGGACTTAGCTTTAACTGACACCAGATCTAAGAAATGATGTGGTGGATGTTTTAACAAAAGAGAACAAACTCACATTTAATGAACTATAACAGTGGACAGAGGAAAACCGAAGCTGGGCTCAGCCTCAAATAGCTTTTCGTTTGGTATGGAAGCTGACATGAGTGACAGCAGAGGTGGGTTATCAATCCTTTGAGCCAGTCTCCCACTTCAAAGTGTTTTCTGCCCCATACAGCTCTCCTGCTGGGCTCCAGTTTGGCATTTCTCTGCTTTTTCTCTCTGGGGCTATAACATAAATAAAACCTCATTGAAAGTCAACCAGCTACTTAAGCTGTTAAGGTCTGTACCAATTACTGTCACAATGCAGTGTGTGTATAATAGCCAACAGACTCAGGGAGAAAGCTGAGAGTGATCAGATGAGAGTTGTTGGTGACAATGTATACTGAAGAGTAGAGACAGCTTACAAAACTTATTTTAATGTATAATAATGTTACTGGGGGGAGAAATATAGTGATCTTTTATAGAGTTGTAGATCCTGAGTAAGTCAGTGCAGAGGAGGCTGCATAAAAGCATCAAGGAAAGAAGGATTATGTCCTTTGTTCTGTGTGTTTCTTTAATTTAGGAGGGAGACAGCATCTCATAGCAGGAGTGTTTGGCCTCAGGAAATTAAAAAAGAAAATGCAAACACACCCCAATATAATCCCATCTCACTTTTCAACCTCCCGTAGGAGTAGAAAGCAGAAACGGCTTAGGACAAATCACATCAGCAACAAAGGCAGACATAAAACATTTGTGTTGCCATAACCGGACAAAACGTTTGCTGCTTTTGTCAGTTAACAAATAAGCAAAAGTGTTAATATTTCTTGGAAAGAAGTCTGATGTGTTGAAGATCGCCATTTTTTATAGTCACCCTTCCAGTCTTTTAGCTGTCCTGCATGGGAAAACTTTTCCATTTCAAAAGGAAACGTATTTTTGTCTCTATAGAAAAATATTTCAATCAGATTTGAGGGAACGTTCCTGTTCAGGCTTTAAATGTACAAAGATACATTGACTTCCTCTTTATGAATTTTCAATCTCACCTCAACTCCAAACTCAGACAATTTCACTCCTCAGGTGTGGTTCCAGAACCGAAGGGCAAAATGGAGAAAGAGGGAACGCTTCGGTCAGATGCAGCAGGTCCGAACACACTTCTCAACAGCTTATGAGCTTCCTCTTCTGACGCGCCCTGAGAACTACGCACAGGTACAGAAGGAGAACTTCAGTGCACGGTTGACATTTTCAGATCCATTAACTCTAAATCATATGAGCTCAACCCAAACATGATTTCAAGGAACGCGGGTTGATTGTTCTACTGCAGTTACATTTATAGTTTCAGCCATTTCTACCTGCAAAATGACCATTTAAAAGCCGTCATTTTTTTTGTTGAAGAAAGTTATGTGATTATGTTGTAGCAATGAATTATATGGTCCTTTTTAAAAAAAAAGTTTGGCAAAATGTTTTTGCGTGAGAGATGCTTGTATTCAAAATATGAATCTTGAGCCAGTAGGTATGTACGTTAACAGCAGAAACAGTGACAAACAAAGCCTGGGAATGTTCCAAAAAAAAAATCTGGATAATTGCCAGCAGTAACTTAGCATAAACACAAGTAAATGGGATAAACACCCAGTACTTTTCTTATAATTTCTGTCAGGATCCATTGAAAAATGAATGAGCTAAGAAAACAAGGTCTGCTTAGAGAAATAAATGAAATGGAAAAATGAAATGAATGAAATGGTCCAATGCCACAAAACTGATTCCCCATCAATATTTCAGATTCAGAACCCTTCCTGGATCAGCGGCAGCAGCGCAGCATCTCCTGTGCCGGGATGCGTTGTGCCCTGTGACACTGTGACTCCCTGTATGACCCCTCACCCCCACTCTGCCAGCGGGGTGTCTGATTTTCTGGGTGTACCGAGCGCTGGAGGTCATGTGGGACAGGCTCACATGGGCAGCATGTTTGGAGGATCTCCTGGCATGACTGCAGGCATCAACACGTACGATCTCAATATGGACCCTGACCGCAAGTCCTCCAGTATTGCCGCTTTGCGCATGAAGGCCAAAGAGCACAGTGCAGCCATATCTTGGGCCACATGATGGGTTGATATGTGCGGGATGAAGGACCCTTGTTGACCCCTGGACCTTGTCGGTGACTCTAAAGGCAACAGCGGCTACCTTCATAAATGTTGCTTTAAAATAATTATGCAAATACATGGATGGGTAATGATTACTCAAAAAGAAAATGAGATCTGGCAAGATAAGTGGTGTGGCGATGCCATGTTTCTCAACCCATCAGGTGGGAGAAAGCAACCACTATTGGCGACAGAGCTTTGTGTAGAGGCTGGTCAAAGGTGATGCTGTACTGTACAACAGGAGTTGTGGTCTAGTACTGTTGATAGCAGAAGGCAAATGTTAGGAAGATTAATTTCAAACAAATCCATGCACTTATTTACTAAAATACAGGAAATTCTGTTTGTACAGTGCTTTTAGGGTCACGGTAGTTCTTTGTTCAGGTGCTGTTTTATTCTTTGGGTGTTATTTAAATTTTGAGTGCTATTGTGTTTTTCCCTCTTGTTGTTTTACCTCTAATTTGATTTGACATTTATTTCAGCAAGCGCCCTTAAAAGACTGAAATTTAAATTTTATTTCTTACATGTTGTGTACATATTATTCTAAAGCAGTCTTTATCAGCATTAGCATATGTCGAACCTAAGTTATGCCATTGCTAAGATAAAGCTACAGAAAACTGTTTATATCCAGCACATTTGTCACATTCTGAAGTTTCTCATACCAAAACCACCATTAAAATATCCACCTCTAGGTGTATATTTCATTGACTACAGAACTTAGAAGTGGTTGTACCCTCTAGCATTTAAAAGTCAAACAGAAATGTGGTTTGTTTTAATATGGTCAGAGTGAGATCCACCTGCCACACACCGACTCAGCCTGCTGATGGCCAGATTGAGGAAGAAACGGATGAGGAAGAACAGTATGTGTAGGGGCGTATGAGAGGGGAACAGCAGGCCTGCTGCTCTCCGGACTGAAGAGCCTGCAGCACCAGTTTCCAAACAGAGCCAGCTCTGTTTTCAGGAGGACAGAGTCCAAGAGGACATGACTGTGCCCCTTGCATTTTGAGTCTCAGGAGTTTCAGAGAGAGAAGTGCCTACTAGTCAGTCAGACTGCCAGAAATAACATCGAGACCAGCAGCCTCCACCTTTGAAACAGAGGAGGCCGGCTGAAATTATACAGATCATGTTGACACTTTTAAACACTGAAAGGATGTCAGTGTTCAACAGCCTCTTCTGGACTTAAGTATGGCTGTGTTTGACTGTCAAAGCTGACCAGAGAGTGGTCACGAAGCAGCACTGGCATATGTGTCATTGTGCTCCTTTTACTTTTACTCTCATTATTTCTGTCACAACCAAACAAAGGAGGCCACTGACCAGAATAATGTAGAGTAATCTTGAGAAAGGTTTAACAGCATCTCAGTAGGATGTGGCACCAAAGACAACCCAAGCACAGGCTGGAGAAAATACCAGCTTCATCCTCCTTCCCCAGACACCTTGAAGCGCTATCTTTTACCGCAAACACGTGCATGTTCATCACATAGGGCTACACATCTAACATACCTCGGGATGATGGTGAATGATGGTATTTGATCTTAGCAAGTGAGGCAACAGGAAGAGTCAAGGGGATTTCTATAGCAAAGATGTTACAGATGAAGTATTAGCAAGTGAACAGAGACACTGTGTCTGTGGTTTTTTTGTAATTACCTACTTTCTAGGTACTTGCAAATTTGTTTGTGAATTTGCACCACTAAAGTGCAATATCAGCTGGGTACTGCGTTATTATGTAATCTCGTGCCTTATCTTTGGGCCATATGTCAAAGTCTAATTACTTTAATATATATTACATGGGTTTAATCATTTCATTGAACAAAAAAACTAACAGACAAAAACTAATTGAATGGAATACCACCTGACATCAGGTGGTATTCCACTGTAGGTGTAACTAGTCGGTTTCCGGATCTCTGGACAAAATATAGTGCATCTTCCATGTATAGCAACCTGTGTGCACTGTCCTTGAAGGGACCCAACAGCGAATACTGACCACAGACAGGTTTATTTGACTACAGTTAGAAAGAATATTTGGGAAATTGTGAACACAAAGTAACTTTGCAGCTGTTTGGGAGTTTCAGTATGGGGGCATGGATCAATTGTAAAGTTTGATCCCAGCCTCATTAGCTTTGATATATCTGAGCAGGACCTACTTTAGCAAAACCACTGACATTGTCAGTGTAAAGCGCCATGAGGAATCTTGTTATAGCCTTTACTCCAAGTTTATTTTTAACTAAGATTGGAACCAAATGTCTGGAACCAGGCAGAGATGAGACCCATCTCTCGGATCCCAGATCTTATCCTTGTAGCCATATCGTCATAGTATTTAAAATTTAAAATAGTAAACCTTGTTTTTCCCCTGGTAACTTCCTCCTCCAGTGACAGAAATAGGAGATGAGGTTTACCAATGTGGTTATGCATGTTATTCTTTTGTTTGCAAGGTTTCAAGGGCTTGAAAAGCAAACCTGATACTGTGTAGCACACCTTCAGGCAGAGCAACCATTCCTAATTCTCTAAATGGAACCACATTTACTGTCCTTCTGGGCAGGTACGAGAAGTGGAATGCAGGCTATAATCTGTCAGCAGAGCACATCACCCCAGAGTCACCCAAATTACATCCAGTTTTACTCCCCGGTCCAAATCCAAGACATATGCATAATCCTCACTATAGAACACACATCCCAAAACTGAAAAGGTCCCCTCACGAACGTGGATATGGGGCCCCCTGTGCTCTAGCTCAGGGGTTGGACAGAGGGCGAGCCGAGAGGCATCTGCTGTGTTCTGGTGTTCTGGGAAAAGGACAGTGCACACAGCTGTGCTCAGGGGGTAAATGCAAAACAAACATGCCTCACACATGCTTCCCCCTCAGCTGTCATGGATCTGCTTTCAAAGATTCACCCTCAGTCCTAATCACCCACCTTGACACACACACGCACACATATACACTGCACTGGGCCTCTCTTTTTGCTCACTTCCACTATGTCCACTAGTCCCAAGCTGCAGCCCCCCATCCCCACCACAGTGTCCAAGGCACAGTCACAGGCCAGCACAGGAAAGCCTTTTAATTAACACCGATCCATGTTGAGGCCGTGGGCTGCAGTATTGTGTGTCAGGACAGGGCCGTCTGTTTTCTAGTTGGTTTAATGTAGACCGTTCCACTGCACAGAGGCACAGACATACTGGCATTCAGTAGCTCAGGTTTACACCATACATACTCAGTTTTTACTCCTTTTACTCTATAAATCTCTTTATTCTTGGACTGAAACATCTCAAATGATGTCTTCCTCCACAAGAAAACTCTCTCTACCCCTAGAATTATTTGTCCTACAATCATATCTTGTTAATGAAATTAGCTTTACATAAACAACCAACACTCTGTTGTCATCACCTACTTTTCTCATTTTATAATACTACTGAAGTCAAACAATCAGTATAGGAGGAAAAATATAACCGTGTGCTGTTGTATGAACATGCAAAAAGGACTTAAGTGTTACAAGGCTTTTGAAAAATGGTACTAATTAGAAGTTTTGTTATTGTGTAAGGCAGTTTAAGTATTCTTGTGTATTACTTTTCTCATTTTGTGGGACAACGTAACTTTTTTTTCAGTATGTAATTATGAGCTTCAAAAGGGTTTTTTTGTGGTTTTAAGCTGTCTTTTGAAATGAGTGTATGAATTTACTAATGCTTGTGTTATGTTTTGTGTGATTAAAGAACAGTAAGTTATTGCACTTCAATTCAGTCAGTATTGGACATTTGTTAAAAGGATGTAGTAAACGCATGACAAAGTTAAAGCAGTAAAAGCCATTTTTTGCACAGTAACTGTGATGGTTGGTCCCTCCAGCTCCTCAGCAAACCAAATGATACCACAGCGTGGTAGGAAATCACCACAACTATTCTACTCTTAGGATTTAGAGATCGGTCAGGTCACTACCAGGTTCAAGAGAAGCCTGTCAAGTCATAACGCCCAAAACAGTGGTTGGCCACATATTGTAAATATGCTGTCTGTTAAAAATTCTATTAATTTGCACCACCCTGCAAAAGTATTGCGTCACCCCTGTAGTCACACTCTGAAATCCCCATGTATTTCAGTCCCTTTGAAGGGACACGAATGCTGAAATGACATCGAAGGAACCTGCTAGAGTATCACACTAATTGAAGTTGACAAAAATACGAACTGCACCCTTCTGAACTGCTGACATTGAACAGGGCGGATTAGGCAGCGTATATTAACAACAGATGACAGGCTGGTGGGAACGGGATGGGCCGTGTCATGGACAGTCGGCCGTGGATGGTCACAGATCGGAGTCACGGCAGAAATAAAGAAAGGAAAATGTCTTACTTCATCTTCTTTTTCCACCTAACCCACACATAGATTGGAAAAAGAACAAACCGTGAGACATATTAGTGTGGTCTTGTGTATTATGAAGTCATATGTACACACAGATACATAAACTCAGTCAAAATATTTTATAAACTCAGTCAGAATCTTTTAAACAATTTCAGACCTCATGAAAATAATGAAAAAAGGCAAAAATATCACAAGGCAGTGTTAACATCTGACAGACTGCACTGTTCTCAATGTTATAGTCTAAATACGTAATTAGTGATGAAAAGGAAAAAACTATAAACACACACAACAGAAAACATGACAACATAAGGTAAAGCATTGCATCAACAGTTTATACATATCTGTTTTGAAAAGTGTGTTTTTGGAATTGTCCATTATTCACTATACAAAAGGTCTTCAAGTGCATGGCAAACATACATATTACATATCAGCATAGGAGCTTGTGCAGTGATCATACACTTAACTCAGGAAATTATGCAGTGGACGCTTCAATTAACACCACTGCTTGTCATATATCCATATAAAATTCAGGTTTGCTCAAACATAAAAACCAAAACCCAAGATGTTCAAGGAGGTCTGCATTTATTTTTTTTTTTACTCAGCAGTTAGAGTTACTCACTCTAAAACTTAGATTTAAGGTGCTAGTTTCTTCTAACAACCTAACCTGACTGTGAAACATCTACAGTATGTTTGTTAGCCACCATGCTGTATGCCATCACATTCAAATACCCATTAGTAAAAGTCTACCTACATACAGTATATATGCAGTTTACACATGTACAGTATTATATATCATGTAAATAAACACGTATCACTTTTTCTTTTCATATATATAAGGATCTGGTCCATGTAAGTTTCTGAAAAGGAAAAAATAGAAAATCCTTGATGGAGCATCATAAATTATGACTATCATGCAGCACTGCTGCAAAATACAAATATATACACTGTATACACTGATTCCAGAGTGGAGTTTACAACTCCAAAGCAGTAACAGGGAAGGACCACAAGCTTCAGTCAGCCTGTCTAATATTAGGGTGAGCCTCCAATAGCAGTTTATGAGTCTATACATTAGTTTTGATAAATATTTGAAAACATCTTTTATGTTAAGAAACAAATCACTGCAATCCTACTCACCACCATTCTCAGATTTCTGTCCTCTGTCACTCAAGATATTAAATTAATATCTTGTACAAGTCACTTGAAGTGAGATGTGACAAGAGCATTACCACTTTAGTCCACATAATGACACCTTGAAATAAAAGATGCTGAATCTTGCTCTGAGGCTGAGACGAAGTCCAAACATCTGCTACCGGATGGTCAGAGGCTGCCAATGTTGGGGAAGCTTTTGAGCTTCTCTGGGAAGTCGTCTTTATAGAGCACAGGATCTGCACGGTGTTCCACCACCTTCAGAGGCATTGTGCCAAAAACGGATGCAAACTTGTTGATGCACTCAGATCTAGGGATGAAACCAATTTATTTACATGAATTTATTTAGCAGCTTCTGATGTTTAAAAATTGTGTATCAGAATCTGCTTTATACATAGTGTTTATATATATATATAGATATGAAGTCTTTACCTTTTTCTGTTTTTAATAAGGTGTTCGTCATCCTCAAAAAATTCTTCTATTTATAAACTTTACATTTTTACATGTTTATACCTCTATTCACTGGCATAAAGGCTACGTCCTGTCAGTGACCTTGTATGTTACATCTGCACAACTCAGAACCTCACTGTGTAAGTTCTGTCAAATATGTTTTGTCTTATATGTATGACTTGAATTAGATGACTGCATCTAATGTTAAAGAAGTTTAGGTCTAATAGGCAAATTGAGTTTTACCCTAGTTTTATGTAACAAAGCAAAAGTTATTGTGTTTCCTGCTGCAACAAGACAACTGTTAACTGCAGATTATGGTAAATAAAATTCACCTGCAATGAGCTGAAAAGCTTCTGGTAACACACTGATTTTGCATCCGAGTCCCTCCAAGTAACTAAAACCTTTTTTGTGTGCGTATGTGCAACAAACAGTACTTTAACCATCCTATTAAGTGTGTTATTAAAAACAAAGACGGATACATTTATATATTTTTGAAAGATAACACTCAAAAACAATGTGCTAATACTGAACTACTGAGATTATGTACAATGTCGAGCCAAAGTAATATGGTGGTTGTAACACGCACATGAAAAAATACATTAGCTACAGACAACAACAAGATATTTCCAGCACTTTACTCACACACACACACACACACACACACACACACAAATAACAAATAATAAAAAAAACCTTTAATTATGGTAATTTTATCCAAGATTTCTAAAACAAAGTGCCATACCTCTCCACCATGTGTGTCTGATCCAGGGACAGTCCATCAATGGCAGTACACTCAGGACACTTGAACTTTTTCCTGGGGGTCACCTAAAGAGAAACACCAGTAATGTCAGCTCACTTTAACTGTTTGTTAGACTGCAGCAGCCCAGACAGAAGCTAATGAACTGTCTTGTCTGATTAAGTCTAAGGCATCTTACAGTGCCTTCTCTTAAGCACAACATAGGGAACATGTCTGAATTCTCATCAGTGGAACTGAAGACAGATGATGTATGTCCAGTTTCCATCACATCTACACCCCAGCATATGCCTGCACCCAGTGATGTGGAATCTGTGAATTTAAGTGTGCACAGAAAAAAGAAAGTGAGAGACAAAAGGAGAGGTAGACAAATGGGGTGGGGTGGAGTGTTTTCTGAAGGAACCCGTTTGTGATATGGCAGGAGCAGAGGTGCAGGCATAAAGAAGTGTGCGGCTTGTGATTTGATGGCAGGGTGTGTGTGAGTCCCTGTGAGTTTAGGAAAACATACTCAGAGGGGGAGTGTCAGTGAGTGACAACTAGATAAGGGAGGTTAAGGCCAGGCTTTAGCTTGGGCCTCTGCACCTGGGCACAGTCAGTGGGATGGGGAGGGGGAGAGGCAGTGAAGTCAAAGGGTGAGAGCTGATCAGAACCAGAGATGCTGGTCCACTCTGTTAAGATTCAGCCTCCCCGTGCAAGCTTAAAGCATCCAGGCCACTCAGAACTATAAATGTACCTTTATGGGTGCTTTGCCTGTGATGTTAGCCACCAGGAAGTTCATGGCAATATCTTCACAGTTCATGTGGGCGTCCACCCAGTTCTTGATGTCTCCTGGCATCTTGTATGTGTACAAATAGTTGAAGTACTGGAATGGAAGCAGATTGGCAACAACAAATGATTACTAGGTGTCATATACATTTACTGCAGACTTATTATGTATAATAATGCAGACACAGTTTGACTGGATGACCCATGAGTATGTAGGAGAAATGACTGCACTAGAATTTGCTTTGAACTTAAAGTGTGTGAGCTTTTAGGTTGAAGAGAGATAACCCTGCGGTACCTACGACACCCTGCTCGTCTATCACAGTCATCTTCTTGCCTGAAATCCAACACATACCCAGAACAGAGGTCTTCAGGAAGTTCCCTAATCTTTTCTGCTGAATTCATTTTTTTATTTGATTTCCAGATATAATACATTTTTCCTTTTCAAAATTGGTTCTGGTTCTTTACATTACTAAGCAAAAGTGCTAACTTGTATTAAAGACGTAAAGGCTGAGCGCAACCAGCCAGAACTACTGAATTTTAGCAAAGCTTTCCCAGGTCACCTTGTGATAGAAAGCGGCTCCAGTTAGAACCATGGAGACCTCGTTGGTCCATTCTGACTCGTACTTCCACTTCCCCATTTCATGGTCCCAGAGGTGCAGCCGGCCTGGGTAGCCCACCAACCTGTCTGGGAACTCCCTCCATACCTGGAGCAGGACAGAAGATGGATAGTTAGACATTTTCAGATGAACTGAACTATGCGGATTACATAAAAAAAAAAGAATGATTAGGGAGTATTTTTTAATACTTAATGCTTTCTTTTAATACTTTTAAAACAGACATTTTTATGTCTGTTTTAAATATTTCTCAATTACATATTTCTTCTCAGTCAAAAACAATTTCAGATAGAAGTATCTTTATGCTTTATAACTGGCTGAACAACTCAAGCTTAACAAAAAGCGAGTCTGATCCTTCTACTGCAAGCAAGAAGCACTGTGACAGACAGCTTCACAGTGTTGCCAGTAATCCTATGTAATTATCTCTAAACTGAGCACAATTTTATTAAATGGATTCTAAATGGATTCAGGTGAGTGTGGCGGGCGAAGCGGGCCCTGGCAGGTATGTGGGCATGGAAAGCATCATTCTTCACACATCAAACACAGGCAGGCAGTCAAGTCCCCAGCTAGTGGCGAATGAGACTGTAATCTCTCTCAATGACTTTAAACTCAACTTGAAATGGTACACCCTGACATGAGGGGAAGGATGGGAAAATATGGTCAAGGTTAAAGGTTTTAGTTCGAATGGGGGTCTTTTTCTCACCTCATAGCCAAACTGCAGTTCATCAGATGTCAGCATGATGATGTCATCATCTATTGCTAGCACAGCCTCTGTCTCGATCTCATCATAGGGGAAGAAGCGGTTGCTCAGCTTATTCTCTTTGGTGCGTACAACTTTATTGCAGAGTTTGCATGTTCTCCTTGTGCCTATACTCTGGCTTCCTCCCACAGTCCAAACACATGCAGGTTAGGTAAAGTGGTGACTCTAATTATGTGTCAGCCTTCTGATAGACTAGTGACCTGTCTTTAAGCTATTTGAAGACATCACCTTGGGCTCAGGGGAAACATGATGGGCATTTTTCACTATTTTGTGACATTTCATTAACCAATCAATTAAGAGAGAAAGTGATCAGTTAGGTAGGAACTTATATAGCACATGCACTTCTTTCATACATTTTTAGGAGTCAAACAAAATTACAAATACTGCCACTATCAGTGTCTGAAGATGTGTGAGGAATTATGTTGTCATTTATGTGAAGTCTAGCCTGGCAGTGGAAAACAGTGCTCTGGGAGCTTAAATCCACTGACTTGTATCACTATGCTAACCTCAAGCGCGTGCAAATCTAACCACACTACAATTCTTCAGGAGAAAGATCAACAAAGTGTTTTTGCAGGGGAGCATTTCAAAGATCTTGGGCAGCGTCCATGGCACGAACTATGGTACAAAGAGATCACACAAAATGTGTCCCCTCATTAATGGGCTAACAGGGGCCTGGCAGCATATAAGAGCAGCTCTAGATCCTCCACGCCATGTCTGAGGTATGCTGTCAAAAGCTATTGTTGGAAAACTGCTATGTTAAACACCCAGAATCTCTTCTTTCACTTTTGCTGTTAGGCCTTCTTTTATTTCCAAGGCCGGAAAGAACAGAAGGAGTAAAGGAGTTATATGCTATTATGTGAAATTTAAAACTTTACTGCTGTGGCATGGCTCCAAATGTGCACACTTAATTATTTTATGGCTTATTAAAGTGTACTGAAGAATAAACAAAAAGCTGTATGTTCTGAAGAATAAGCTAAGGTTGTTTTAAGCATGCATTTATTGTAGCAGTGTGGCAGTTAATCTCAGCTGGTTTATAGACTACTGGTCAAACATTTGGCCACTTTCCTAGTGACCTGAACTGGAAAGTGTGTCCAAGTGTTTAACTGGCAGTGTAGGTAAAAAAAAAAAGATTAATAACAGAAACAAACACTGAAAGCAAGAAAGGTCAAGAATTTCATTTCAGTCTGTCATAAAACATGATCTTCAGACTCTACGTCAGCATCTTCTTAAAAAAAAAAAAAAAAGTAAGATCACAGGAGGAAGCAAAAGTGTGAGCCTGTAAATGCATCAAATTAAGGCCTGGTGTGGATGGTGAAGAAATCCACCTTCATATTGGACCAAGCCCCATGAGTCTGACCTGTTAATGGCCCCTTGTTAATTCTAATGGTCACAAAGCTCCAGCCAGGCGCCGCTGATGCCTCTAATAAAAAGGCAACTCAAACTCATGAGGGAGCACTTTAAAAGTCATCTCATTACTTCATTAAATTAGCCAGTTCTTACAGCAGCAGGACCACTTTAACTCCTGCTTAGGTTAAGCAAACAGTGGTATAAGACATGATGAACTGTTGTATCCTTAATTGCCAGATTAAGGCAAATAATTAGAGCGCAAGGTCCAATAAATAGCACATAATAAGAGGCTATTATGACATCTCTGATAAAGTACAACTGAAGAAGTCTTGAGCCACACACTAGAAGTACTGGAGGACAAACAAGAGCCTTAATGGCAAGATTTTTTTTCAGGGCTGGTGTACTAGTTAGTCTTACATAATAAAACTATATATACACACACAACTATAGTTTTAGAAAGCTTCATTAATGTTTTATTTTTGATGAAAATCAGTTCTACGCACCCTCTGGAGGACTTTTGTTCTGGTTATTCCACACCACCAACAGCTTTGCCAAGCTAGGTACTTTGGAGATTTCAGTGATGACCCGGAAAAGACTCTCAACACGATCGTACGTCAGCACCACTGCTGTGAACCCAGGTGCCCTTGGCGGGATAAGTGGCAAAAACAGAGGGCTGTTTACACTGGACCACTTCTACACAAGACAGGAAACAAAGAAAAACAAAGGCTGTTTAGGCCACAGATATCTTTATTCGTTTGTTTTCATTTATTGTTTTTCATGGAGTGCTACTGTAGTTAGTCTCATGTCTTCTGTGTCACCTCTGTTCATCAGGTTTTCCACAGTTTAATGCACTATAATAGTGTTTCACTGGACAGTAAGGCCATCTGCAGTAATTTCCACATGATGCTTTTTATTATGGAGCAAAGGTCATCCAATAATATCTCTCAGGCGCTAATGGAGTCTGAGCACACAGTGCCAAACGCTTCCAGTCAGAATGCCAAGTAAATGAAGGAGCTGTTCGGAAGGACAAAAAAAAAAGAACAGGAGTTTCAAAACAAGACAGGTTGGCTACCCTTTTGTGATTCTTCTGTGACAGATGGGAGGAAATGAGGCAGTGGGAAAAGGTGAAAGAGATGAATTTGCCAGACAGTGAATAGTAAGTCATCTATGGTCATTGTGGAACTTGGCTCTTCTTCATTGCTCCCCTGTAAAATGGCCTGTAAAGCCTGAGAGCTGAGGTTGTGTGTACCAAATACTAAGCTTTAAAAAAGTTAAACTGTAATTTGGACTAGACTGACACAACTAGTCTAATCTGTGCACAAATGTATTTACTTACTGTTTACTAAGGTTTGTTTCTCAAGTGAAATAAAAAGACAACCCCTATATTTTCATTTACAAGCATGTACTAATATAAGACTAGCAAATAGGAGCAGCATGGTTCACTCAACAAACTTCATCAAAGGCACCAGACATTTTCCACCCTGGTTACAGTGAAAATCAGTCTGAGAGCATATCTAACACAATATATCTGTGGGCTTCTTGAAGTCCATAAAAACCCTGTTTCTCCTCTTGCCCCTGGAGGCTACAGAGTGATTATGTTTCTCCTTCCCCAGCATCAATGCAAGTCTGTCAACAGAGACGCAGCCACTCAGTCACTCCTCCACCAATAAAAATTCACTTTACTGGCAAGTAGAAACTTCCTTGTGGTTTCCCGCACGTTGTCATACAAGTAGCGGAGGAAACGGTTAAGCTAACATGCGTACGCAGCACAGATGCATTAAAACAGAATAAAAGAAGCAGACCACTTAAGTCATTTGTCAAACTGAATAAATTAAATGAAAAGAGCCATAGCTCAATGCCACCAACAGGAGTTTGTGTGTTTACACTTAAAAGATGACTTTTATTTGGTTATATGAACTGCTTGAGCAGTTCTTCAGTAATCTTAGACATGTGAACACCTTCAGAGGTATGTGGATTAGGAGCAAGATAAAATGATGAGCTGCTAAGTATTTAAGGTGCCACTATCTGTCTGCCTTCCCCATTTATATGTATAAACATTCCTAAAGAAAAAACATTTACATTATATTCTTTAATTCCACATATTAAACATTACTCACGGATACAGAAGCACAGTAGTGCTAGATTAAATCTAATCTTTCAATTTATTGCTGAGCAATTCAAGCAATAAAGTTGCAACATAAGAGATTCATTAGCATCAGAAAAGAGATAGTGTATATTTGTTTTTGTCTTATTTTGTGCTGACTTCAGTCATCTGGATTTAAAAACTGACTGAGATTAAAAGCGCCACCTTTCAGTTTTAAAACAGCTGAAGGTCTTCTCAATAACAGTGGTTGAACAGTCTAGGATTGATAGCCCCTTTCAGCCTTGGGGGATTATGTCCAATACACTTTAAAGTAGATGGTTAAACACATGTGAATGCACACAAACTCAAAATAAAGTTGAAAGTCAGCACTTCAATCTTACCATAGTTCATTCCTTTCAAACAATACTAGCAGACTGTACCTTTAAAGAAGTCAGTGATTAAATAAGATTTCTATATGCTCAGTCACTACAAAAACATTTCAAATTCTGGCAAATTTGAGTCTCAGATGCCTCAATGTGTGTAATGTGTGAACTATACAAGTATGCCCACTACCTAGAAACCCCAAACAAAAAGCAGCTTGTCCCTTATTCTGAAACCCCCCTCTAAAGGCACCAGCAATCCAAGGAAATGTGTTTTCAATTACCAGCCTGCAAACTACAGGAGGAGAGGGGGAAAATGTCTGCCTGATTTATTTAGTGCTCTGTGCAAGTTTTTCTCACCATCCAGTCACTGAATCCATCGAGAAAACACTTCATCTCAGGCAGGAATGGCCAAAGGTCTGTACCCTGACACAATTTACCTCCTGTGCATTTGGACAAACTTTGATGCCTGAGTGATACTGATAGACTTGACTGGGGGTTAGATGCTCTGACAAAACATTTGGACATAAGTGGACAATGCCAAGTGTAACTGCCGATTAACAAGATACCTACTCAGAGGAAAACAGGAAGCCATGATCAAGAGTGAGCAGATACTTTACTGTAAACCTATCCATCCTGATGACAGGATGTACAGATCTGCACTGAAATGGCAAACATCTGAAAACACCACTCTGAGCAGTTTGTTTACACCAACGCAACCTGATTGTGACTGCATTTCAGTGGATCTACTTATAATGGAATAATTGCAGACATTTGACAAATGCACAAACGGTATTATCCATCTAGACGCAGGCTCACATGCACATGCCTCTACCCCTTGACTGAGGACGCAGGAGACTCTAGATCAGAGCAGCATGATTAACAACTCCTGAGAGATGGTTGCACAGCCAAGCTGTCTGCAGCCACAAACTCCCACAGCCGCAGGGATGCTCAACACACACACAAACACACACACACCATCCTTCTTGCACACTCTCTACAAGGACAATGAGTCAGACATGCAGGAACTTATTTTTTACCACAAACACTGCATGTGTGGCTCTTTAGAAGGAGGAAAGGCATCTACCGTCACTCTGTCAGAGAGGCTTGATTTACAAGGAGCATGAGAGCAGGGAAGCTTATGTGGCACTATGAGCCTCTGTATGGTCAATGTGTCATTCTGGGTAGGTGCCATTAAAAAAAATGGCTGTATGTTGGAAGAAAGCACCCTTCAGGGTATTAACATGGTTAGTAACAGACACTTCTGAAATAAACATGGATGGTTAAGACACAATACAATAATCTTGCTCAGTGGCTAAAATCCTTGAAATATGCATGTTAACATCTACTCTACACAGTTACTTACAACCACAGGTGGATTGTTCCACTGCTCATAAGTCCGTGCAGCATATGGGTAGATACGGTCATTGATGATCTGGAGCGTCGTCAGTCCAATAGCTTTCATGGAGCTGAAGTAGGCCTCCCAGAACCAGCGTGCCTATAGATAAATAGAACACAACTCCTTAAAATGCACCCACATCAGCACAAATGGGCAAAAAAGCAAACAAAGCAACTAAGCGATCACTTTTTGTAGGCAACTTTCAGATATTCACCTTACGGATAAAGACAAAACATAGGTTCAGAATTGAATATTTGCACTGATTTATGAAAATGAAAACATTTGTAACAAAAAACCTTTTTCATTATCAAAACATGCAGCACACAGATGCAGAAAAAAAAACCCTGCTAATGTTTGCAGAATTCATCACCATAATAGAACTGTCAATGAAATGGTAACACAATAACAGTACTTTGTATGTGTGTACTGAACACATTGACTGTTTATGCCAGCTAGAATAATTGACCTGAGCTTCAATCTGTAGTTTACTAAACTGTTGCCATGTTATTAGCGATTATAAAACTGTTTTTTTATTTTACTTTTCCCCCCCATATAGCATATTGCCATGACCTAACAGAAGATAATACCAGTGTGAGGTCATAACTGAAAATCCAACTGTTTCTCCAGGTTCACATCTTTAAAGACAATTTTGCAGCCCTCTGAAATATCTTTTGACTGTGCCTGTTTTACGTCAACAGACCTCTGATGTGAAAAGCAGACGTTAAAGATAAGTTGTCTTAAACTATGTCTAATGTTATCACATTGGCTGCTGCAAAATCCAACTCAAACTGCCTTTGTTCACAAGGCTGTAAGCATGAGAAAGAATACCTGTGCACTGTATGTTATTCAGATTGTTTGCTAAAGCTCTAATTGTGTTAGAGTTGAGAGGCAGAGATAAAATTTTAAAGGGAACAAGCCTAATATTTCCATAGGGTCCATGAACTCTTTTTTTTTTTTGTGGCTGTATACCTCAAGTTTAACATTTATACCTCCTTGCCTACTGCAAGCTGACCTGAATCCAGCCCACCTCAATGACCCACAGTTCTGAGGTAGAAGACGGGAATATTTGACTGATTGTGTAAAGAGCAGTCAGCTTTAATATTTTCTTGTTCTCCTATTGGAATGCACCAGTGTGTGTGCCCAAAGACAGCCCTTAGTTGAACAACAGGTGACTATTGCCTAAATCACCAATTTCTGTGTGTGGGATAAAGCACCGGAGATGTACAACAGCACAAAAGCAGCATGCATTTCTATAGAGGGGGTGGAGAGAATCCAAAAAGACTAATCTCAGAGAAGGATCCCAATGGCCCATAAATCAGCCAGTGATGAAAGTTTCTTTTCCGATCGGGAGGAGGCAGAAAGCAAACTGTGCTGGCCCAAGGGTCCATTCTACCACCCTCCACCCTCTCCCAGCGCCTGCAGGAATTTTTATGAGCGGGGAAGAAGACAGCATTTCAAGAGAACAAGAGAAAGCCTTAATCCATCAGCCAGTTTCTAGCCCACAACCTCCACTTTGTTCTTGTTTGTTCTACTAATGAAAAAAATGTGTAGCAGTACAAACAGAGCATCTCTGACATCCTCGAAAATGAGCTAAGCAACATTTACTTCACCAATAAAAATAAAACTGTGTGTAGCATAAATTGTACCTGTAAACCTGCTGCAAATATTGAGAACTAATATAAACAATCCTGAGAGAGTCGGGTCCACATTATATTTCCTCTGTACGTCAAACTTAACAGCCCTCTGAAGTAACACCTACCTTCTTGTTTCCTTCTGGTTTAGAGAACCATCACTCATTTGTTATTAAAAATAAAGGTCAAAAAGATGATCAAAAACAACATATATTACTGTCAAGTGTCTGCCATATGATTCAACCCCCAGACCAGAACAGAAGTGAACAATCATTAAAACAGCAGTGAAACAAAGTCTGTTTCAATCATGTGAGCTGCTCACTAGGATATACTATGTTGCTCAAGATTTATTAGCACTTTAAACTGTGATCAAAACATTTCCACTCAAACGCATGACTTGTTAATAATAATTTCCTGGTCTTCCAAGTGTAAGTCAGTTCTTACTAGAATGCCTAAAATAAAAACTTAGCAGGACTGTGTGTGTCTAGAGAACCATAACGGACAACCTCTGCTTTGACAGCGGGCTTCGTGTGGGATTACACAGTCTTTGTGTTACTGAGCCCCATGGTTGTATTAATTACAGACTACTCTGCATAGCTTATGTGGCTCTAAACAATGTGCAGTGCAACACAGAGGTTCACCATGGGACTGTACTGTGTCCTCTTCTGTTCAAGCTTTACACTTAAGACTAACTTTGGGCTGTGAACTAATAACACCTACATTTGTGCAGGTGAGGAAAAAGAACAGGAATCTAGTGGCGGACCTCAGCTGATGGCTTAAGGAAATCAAATCTGCAAAATTCTATACATCGGGGAGAAAGAGACAGAGAGAGCAGAGAGAGAGGGATGTGCTAATGAATGTATAGAAAGTAATGTCCTGTTTTCAGGGTATCACCCAAACAAGGCTCATGGGAGTCACCAGCATGGCTTCAGTAGTCTCACTTGAGCACGGTTAACAAACAGCATCTGTTTGGTGTGTGGGTTTTAAAATGCAACCCAAACAGATGCAATTACTAAGACTTTTCCCTTGAATTAACCAAATCTTCTCTCCCTACAGGATGAAACTGCAACAAAAACTATCAATATTTGTGTGAAATTAAAAAACACCTGGACTGTCAGGGAGGCAGCTGATGAACAACAACGAACAGTAATTTGAGGACTTTTTCAAACAAAAGAAGCTTAAATCTATTTGCTTTTGTCAATCAGTTATTTAGTCTCCTTACCAAACCACCCCATGAATCAATCCTTCCAAATAAAATAAAGCAGTAGTAACAATAATGCATGCTGAATAAACTTTCAACTATATTAAAGTATATAATATATTAAAATATAAGTTGTTTATAATATTATTTTCTTTCAGGTGAGTCTGCATTGTCTATTGTTATTTTTGTACATCTGTAGGCCAAAAAGTCAGACCACATAGACACACTAACAAAGCAAAGACCGCTGAGCCCTCTGCTGGTAAAACTAATGAAAGATATCAGCTCAAGCTTGTCAAAAAAATAAAATCAACATTTGAAGAAATAAGGATCTAATCATGCATTGAAATATATTTTCTCACAATCATTAAAATGACCCCATCTTTTACACTTTTTTTGCAGGTGGGGTGGTTCTGTTGGCAGCATTTCTTTATGCAATACAAAGTATTAAATAGTTGGACACAGGCAATTTGCTTTCAATTTGCTTTCATTTCATTTTAAATTATAATAATAAAAATTTAATTCTGACCAGAAAGTATGGTTCTGAGAAAGATTACTAATTACTAATATTACTTGCAGTAATAAAAAAACAAACAAACACAAGAATCAAAGTGACCTGTAGGATGACATTCTCTGGTGTGTGATCTGTGACCAGTATGGCAAAAAAAAAATCCTATTTAGCAGGACATTACTTTAATCAAAATTCAAAGTAAAGTTACTTCTGCAGAGAAATGTCTCAGACTAGAATCTGAGACTGCCTGCCAACCCCCAACTCACAAGCAAGCTGTTTTTGAGCTTGTCTGGTGTAATCCAATCCCTAGGCGGTCTCTGAGCCCTTTGCCCAAAATTTCTGTTTGGCCAGTATAATTGGTAAATGGACTAGAGTTGATTCAAGGGAATGAGGAGCAGCTGAACTGGTGCACTGCTCTGACTTTTGTTTATTGTGGCTCAACCCAGATATCAAATGGAAAGAGAGAGTGAGCTGTATTCTGAGAGTTTTACTAAGGTTCATATCAACATGTAGGATCTTCTGAAAGCTTTTTAAAATCTAGACTGAGCAAAGAAACATCATCCCATTGCACATCACATGAAATTTGTTTTGAGTTCTACAGACTTGGTTAAGACACAAGCACATCTTAGACATGCAAGTCCACTAGGCAGCTATCACTAACCCCAAGTGACAGCACTACTGACCGTCCTTGTCAATGGGATTTCTTAAACTGCAAACAAGTTTTACTGAGAGATGTTTTCTCTTCAGTTAGACATTGACGGTTACCTGTCTCTGCATCTCTTCAACTTGTCTGTGAGGAATACTCTTTAGGATAGTGTACATCTCTGATAGCTTTTCCTCAGGAATAACCACAGATGCCCTGTGCAGAAAGAAGAATGTTAGCTTAATGAACTGAAAATGAAGACTGATAAACTTTTTATTTGCTTTTCATCTGTTCAGTGACTTAGGCAGACCTTTTCCAGTCAAGTACTTCAGAGAATGGCAGAATGTAAGAGTCAGCAAGGATGACAGGGACACAGCCAGCCTGCAGCACATCACTCAGGGCAGCCTGACCCAAACGTGCCCCCCTCAAAACTACACAGAACGAAGATTCCTGTAGACACACATTGAGAGTAAATTGTTGATGGGACAGGCAACTTCACACTGTACCATCAAACTAAATAAAAACTGGCTATGTTGTCCAATTTACAAGGAGTCTGTAACAACCAAAGAACATTTTAGAAACTAACTGCGTTTTGACCACAAAAACAAAAGGTTACCGTGGCTTTAGTTCCTGCATTATCATTTCTACCTACTAAAACATTACTGCTACTGAAGATGTTATTTAGTCAAAGCAGAAGGACCGTCAGGCTCCACAAACTGCAATGATCATCGCTGCTGAGTGGTAAAACATAAGCTTACAGAGTGCTTAAATACACTTACCAGCCACTTTATTAGGAACAACTGTACAACTGTATGCAATTCAATGCAACACTTCTGCCTTTAAATCTGTTTATGAAGCTCAAATCGTTCCAGAGTGTACCCTGCCTCACATCCAATGTCAGATAGCTCTTGTTAGGATAAGCAGTATAGCTAATGGGTGGATGACAATTTCACCAAACATTTTGAGCTTCATAAACACAGGCGAGAACATGAAAGTGTTACCCTGAACTGCATACAAATGCACAGGTGTACCTAATCAAGTAGCCAGTCAGTGTATGTATACAGGATCCTTTTGGCTATAACAAGCACTACTTGTTGGTGATATTCCATAAGGTCTTGGAGTGCAAAGTGGGGTAAAACTATGGAATAATTTAAGTGTGGACATAAAAAATAGTAATAGAATTGACGAGTTTAAACATAAATATAAAGGTATGTGTCAATCAAGATATATGCAAGAACAGGCTTAATGATTAATTAGATGGAACATTGTGGGTGTGGTGTATGAATGTTAACACTTTGTAATAATTCTTTAGTATATTACTTGTGTGGTGTAGAAGAGAATTATCTATGTAGAGATACTGCTTGCAAACCAATGATGGTAAGATGATGTCATGGGGTAGGACTGGATAAGTCTGACTTCTTCCTACTCCATTCCAGCATGTACTAGGTATAAGCAAATTGTTATTGGATTAGCATTTGTTGGATATGTGTAAAATTATGTGTTGATATATCAACTGTCCTTACATGCTTGAAAGAATAAATCAAATCAAATCAAAAATCAAATATTTCATACATTTACTGTATTTGAAGATACTACTGTAGCCAAAATAAATAAAATGGATTTAGATTCAAAATTTTAATACAATTGGTTCTCCCACCTGCAGGATCTGTGGGTAGTCATACACCTGCCCCTTGTAGCAGCGTTTTCGTGCAGAGGCAGCACCATGGGAGAGGTTGCTACATTTGTCCAGGAGCAGCAGCGCTTCTCCGTTTTCTTCCTTCAAGCGCTCCAGTTCAGCACGGTACTCTCGGTGAATGGCGGTTTGAGAAGACAGAATAAAGTAGCGCCGTGGGCTGAAGCAATGAAGACAAGAGATACACAAATTATAAAGTCATACGTTACATTGTGGACTATTATTAAAGCCTTAACCAAGACACATCTAAAGAGTGATAATAAGTCAGTTATCTTATTTAGAAGTCCATTCTAAATATTACACGTCACTATGTTCCCTTAGAGCACAGTCTGTAAAGAAGTACTCAATGTATAAATAAGGTTATGCAACAAGATGAGAGTTAATGCATGAGGTGTACTCACCCAGGCTGTCTCTCAGGCAGCTCAACATCTGCAGAAAGGGGGCTGTAAACTGGGATGCTGACATCATAACCTTGTCTGTAGGTCCATGTAGAAAAACCACCTCCAGCCAGCAGTGCTCTGAAACAAATGGGCCTGGATTGTAAAAATGCTTGAGCACAATGGGATTGTCAACAGAAGTGAGCTACAGAAACATATCTTAAAACATAAATTTATTAATCTTGTTAATTTCTGTGAGCATTTCTACTACCAACAATAATAATGTGAGACATGAAGTGACATCAAACAAAGCTATGACCTTGTGCTCACTACAGTTTGGAATAACAGACTGGTGGAGTAAAGAGTAGTTAATCAGATTCTATGATGTTTCTCACATGCAGAGTCTGTTTCCTGGGCTTTAAATGCATTCATTCAGGTCTGCTGAAAATATTTTCTCTCCTAACTGCTTAACATCTTCATCAAATGATCATTCTTAATTATAGTAACTGCTACTTAAAGTTGCATAATCCAGTTTTGCATGCAAATGAATTTCATCTGCCTGTTACTACAAACAGCTAACAATATATTTAATTGCACTGTAAACTTTGAATTTCACAGTGGTACAGATGATAATGAAATAATTACTAAAATTGTATTTAAGATGCATGCATGTCATTACCTGTCCCTGGGCACATCCAAGGCAGTGTTGTAATCTGGAGGGCCTCCAGGTAACATATTGAAAAGTAGGTGATTCATTCCTTTGTCCCATCTACAAAATTCACAGACAGGATTAGTGTGGGAACAATGATAATTACATGATGGCAGTTTTGCTAATTAATTCTTTTTAAAGTAGCAATGTCCCAAGTCAATCCTTTTATTGATGACCAGAAAAGAGAAATTTTCAGACATGACTTTGATTGGTTTTTGTGATAGTTCCTTATGGGGTTACTGGTTGACATTTCTGACATTTTAGGATGCAAGTTATCGATCAGTATATTATGTGGTACTTTTAAAAAGTTAGTTTCTGTCCTACATAATATACATGGTTATAAACAACTTCTGGGGATTAAAAGGTTACATTTCAATTTTAACACCAATGACAACAACAATACAATACAATATGCGATAAATTAGCGAGAGCAACTGAACAGTGACAAAGCAGTAGAACTCTACTACTTAAAAATGATTAAGAGTGATTTTTTAATGACTGGTTCTAGTGTAAAGTTTACCTGGGTAGCATTGCCAGAGCTTGGGCAGTCTCTCGAATACGGAGAGAGTTCTGATTCAGCACATCAATAGAAGGGATAAAAAGACAGGCTCTGGTGACGTCATCAGTGTAAAAGTCACTGTCAGAAATGGCACCGAGCAGGTCATTATACTCCCGAGACAGTCCAATGCTGCTGATGGGAACCCCGACTTCATCTACAAACCTCTGCAGAGGGTAGATGTAGACCTACAAAAGCGTTTCAACAATTGGTGATAATTTTAACAAGGAACACTGCAAAATATTAAAGGAATACACTTAGTTTATGTGACATGGTTGTTGTTTTGAGAAGCAGTTACCTTAATTCTATTCTTAGGATTGTAGCCACATCTGTACACATCAAAACAGGTGTGCATGCGACAGCTGAGGTCACCTCTTTCAGGAATGGGACTAGAGACAGGCAGGTGGATGAGAGGTGCATCATGGACACTGCGTTTATCAAGGGACCAGTCAGCTGTGGACTCAATGGAGTGGGGCCAGAACTGAAACATCCCAGTGGCAATTAGTCCAAGCAGTACCACAGAGAAAAGGGTGATGTAGTAAATGCGGTGCTTGGTCTTCATCCGTGGGATAAGAGCAGGGCCCCGACTACTGTATTTGCTAGAGGCATACATGCCTGACAGCTCTCTGTCCAGCCAGCCACTGTAAAGATGAGACATCTGATCAGAACACGTCATATACTAGAGGTGCACTGATTAATCAATTAATCGATCAACAGAAAATTTATCACCAACTGTTTTGATAGCCAAACTATCTTTTAAGCCACTTTTAAAGCATCAATTGCAAACCGTCTCCTTACAACTTCATAAAAATGCTTTACAATGTTATACATAAACTTAATATGTTTTGGTTTCGGACTGTTAGTCAGACAACAAGTCATCTCATCACTCCTGAATATAAAAATAGGCTTTTCCCCAACTATTTTACGACATTATACAGATAAACGGTCAAAGGTTTACTACGGTCCCGACTTTTACGAAATGAAGAACAGGAATTACTATCTAGGCTAACAAGTCAGACAAATCTCTGACAAATCTCTCAACTTCAGAGAATAGTAGCTAAATACTGTCAACGACAAGTATACAGCTAGTCAACGATGTCTTAAAGGCCACAACCAACGAATAACCATAATGCGATGAAGAAAATCTTACATATAGTTTTAGTGACGTGTTAGCTGGTTAACGGCAAATTTGCGCTGCCAGAATAGCTATTAAAATGAGATTTTTACCTTAGTTTAACGTTAACCAGGATGATAACTCGGCTAATGTATCTAACGCTGTCGTTAGCTTAAAAACGCTGTATAAACATTTGTGCTAACGTAAGATGGCAAAGCACTATAAAGCATTTGTAAAGCACAATCATTTTCTAACTTTGAAGGCATATGTTTTACCCACCGATCGCTAACGGAACGGGATTCGACAATTCAATCCTAATTCATGACAACAATGGAAAAAAACATATACACTCAATAATACTGTTAATGCTAACCTTGCTTCAAGCTAACATTAGCGCCCCAGCAAATTTTTCAGCCTTTTCCGGAAGTCGTTCTTCTTTGCGTCTGGCTTTTTGTGAATCAGGAGTTAAACGCTTTGCTTCCCTCTAGTGGTAGCCGACATGATTCATCTGTGCTGTATGTGTTTTAACAATGCACATATTCTTGGTGTTAGTAGAATGAACAAGATCAGGATCAGAATACACAGCAGAGGATGTACTTCCTGCGCCAGCTCAAGAAGTTCAACCTGCCCCAGGAGCTGCTGATACAGTTCTACAGAGGAATCATTGAGTCTGTTCTCTGCACCTCCATCACTGTCTGGTTTGGCTCAGCAACCAAACAGGACAAGTACAGACTTCAGCGGACAGTCAGGACTGCAGAAAAGGTCATTGGTGTGAGCCTGCCCTCCATGGAGGACCTGTACACCTCACGGGTCAAAAG